CGTGTGCGGAGCGAGGGAGGGCCGGAGGAAGGAGGGAAGGGCACAAAGGCCGGCGGCGGGCGTCGGGGTCCGGCCGGCCGGCCGTGGAGGAGGGGCGCCTCCCGTCCGCTCATGAATATTAACCGAGCCTGCGGCCTAGCGTGTCCCGGCCGGGCCCGGCGCCCGGCCCGCGTCCCCGCTCCTGCTCGCCGCCGCGCCTCGGAAGCTGGGCCAAGCGGGCTGGGAAGGGTAAGCCCCTTGTTTTTTGTTTTTCCCCCGGGTCTCCCGACACCTTGTTTTAAAAGTACATATTTGGGTCTCCCTTCCCGGGAGATCGAGATTACCGACCCGCCTCTGGAAGGGGCGGAGGAAATAGTGGTAGGTGGGTGGTGGTTTTCTTTTTCCTATTTTTTTTTTTTTTTTTTTGTCTTCCCTAGGTGGCCCCAGGGAAAGGGAAAGATAGTGTGTCGAATGGTAGTTTGGGGAGCAGCAAGTAAATAAAAGTTGCCCGGGCTGCGGCTTCATTTTTGTCCCTCCAGAATAATGCCCCGGAGAGGGAGTTGCGCCCGGGTCCCACCCGCGGCCGCGCACACCTCCCCGCCCAGCCCCGCCGCGGGCCAAGCAAAACAGCCGCCTCCTCGGGGGCAGCCTCGGGGCGCAGGGGCACGGCTGCGGGCGCCCAGACTTACCCCGCCCGCCAGCAAACGCCGGCCGAGCCGGCGCTGCCCGCCTCCGAGGCTGGCTTTTTGTTTTTATTTTGGTGGGGGGTGTAGGGGAGCGATCAGGGTTTTTGAAAAGTATTACATTTTAATCTCGTGGGGAGAAAACTTCCGTTAAGTGTACGTATCTGGGTGATGCCCAAGAGCCTATACACTCTCTCTTCTGCCCAGAAAATACATTAATTAAAATGCACTTGAAAAGGGAATTTTTTTTTTCCTGAAGGCTGCACACCAACCAGGCGTGTTTGACGCAACCACCGTGCAGTTCCGATGCTTCTCATTTTTTCCCCTGATTTATAGGTTTTTCCTTTTTTCTTTCTGTTTTGTCTGGGAGGATTATTTCCTCTTTTCGTGCGTGAGGTTCATCAGCAGGGACCGAATAATCTTTCTAAGTGTTGGAACCGCGAACTTGGTGTAGACTTGTGGCAAGGCTAAGGTCAGCGTCCGGAGAAAGTTCATGCCCTTAACTATTCCCTGTTCCAGGAGAGATCTCCTTGGGAGCTGACGCTCGAGCCTTCGCGACCCACTCAGATTCCTCTTGGTCACGGAGTAGCGCTGGGAGGAGGAGGGGGACCGCTTTCTGCAGTTGGCCTCATTAGCTGCCAAGAAGACCCGTCTTCTTTGTTTTTTAAGTCTCGAGAAATGGACGAAGACGGTGAAGTCAGTTGAAGTCCGAAGAAATCCATCAGGGCGTTTTGAAGGGGCTTCATAAAAACATTTCATTCCCCAGGCACATTACTTGTTTCACCAGCCCTGCACCTCCTCGGAGCCTGGTGTGGAATTCTTCCCTTTTTGGTGTGTGGTGGCATTCCGCCCCCCCAATGTGGACTCCAAAGGGTTGGTCCCTTCTTTGTAATTTGAAATGAAATGATGGCCACACGTCGGACTGGTCTACCGGAGGGAGATGGTGACAAGCTCAAGGCCTGCGGGTCCCCCACCTGCGAGGTAAGCACAGAGGCAGCATCTTTGGGCCACTGTCTACAAGGTGTCCTGCCGGTGGGGTGGGGTGGAGTGGGGTGGGGGTGGGTCAGCTGCCATGGGCCTCAGGAGAGGCTTTGGGGCCTTTGGGCTGATTTGTGGGAGTGTCCCAGCTTGACCCTAGGGCGGTGCAACCTTGCCCATTTTTGTTTCCAGGAACTTCCAGTGATTCTTCTGCAAGAAGGGTTTCTTCACTTTGAAATTCCCCATCTTGCCCATGCATCACCTCAGAGTAGGGAATTCTCCCATTTCAGGTGACTGGGAATACTGCAAGTGTCTCTCTTTTCCTTCAGTTCCCATCCGCCAGTAGTTTTGGAGTTGGGCCGGTTAGGGGATGCCTTTGTGCATTTTGTGGGTATGTATGCAAGATTGGCTACCAGAGGTGGAGAGACGGCAGCGGGTATGCTTGTTGTAACGGGACCTCAGTCTCACTTTGGCTTTGATGAGTATTCTGGCTTGCTGTTGATGTGGATCTCTGCTCTGGGTAGAAAAACAAGTCTTTTCCCGTGGACAGTTTAAGCACAGCCCTGAAAAACAGATTTATAGAGTTGTAATTCCAACTCCCTGAAAAATCTCCTGACATTACTGTTCTTTTATTTATGCCCTTCTTTTCACTGCTCAGAAGTTCTGTGAGCTGCCCTGGGGCATCAGGTGGCTTGCATTGCCTTTAGACCATCATCTTTGGGAAGGCTCAGATGATTATATGCCAGGCTTCCTGAAATTTTTTGAGCAGGCAGGACAGAAATCAGAAAATCCATTGATTTATGACACCCATATGCCCTGTTGCCTCTTATATTCTTTCTTCTCTTTATATATGTATATATATATAGTCTCTATATGTTATATTTCATTCTGTAACGACTGTATTGTGTTTACTTGGTCATTGGTTTCTGTAATTTGCTTGCTAAATGTACTGAATATTGTTACCCTTTAAACTTTACTTTTGAGCCGTCTATATTTTTATTGAAGGATTGAATAGATTATAGTAACATCCCCCAAAAGAGGCTTTACTCTCACTATTTCTTTTGTACCTTGTAAGTGTTAAATTTTAACTTCACGGCCATTGAAACAAGGTCTAGTTCTTGAGTGTGTGAGTTTTGGCATTTTAATAAAAATGAGTCAAGTTAAATTTTTGTTTTTAAAGCATGCAGAGAAACTTGCTTCATGTAGCTCACTTCATACAGCTCACTTCATACAGGATTAGAAAGTTTATGCAGAAAATACAGGGAGGTGGGTACTGTACAACTCCTTAGAACTAGAAGTTTACAGTTAGAATCAGTGTTTTACTTTTTGACACCTGTAAACACCTGCTTGCAGGTGAAAACGTGATTAAGTATAACACCACAGTCCTCTGATCATGGTAAACCATAATAACTCCTTTTGGAAGGCCTACCTCCAACTTGGAGATTGCTTAATGTGTATTGTAGTTACATAATAATATGTACTGTGGTCCCAAAGCCTCATTTGTCTTTGTCTTGTGAATACTTCAATTAGCATGCTATTTGCATTATATTTGCAAAAACTAATATTATTTGTTTTTTGGTTTTTTTTTTTTTTTTTTAATCATTTAAGGGATCTCCCAAAACCAAGAATTTATAATAGATACATCTTGTCCTTGGCTAGGGAGCAGTGTTTCCAGTTGCAAACTTGCTTACATTAACACGGAGAGTTACGTATTTTTTTAAGGGCTGTGAAATTTATTTTCATTTGACTGTTACTGCTGGCATAGACATATTATTTGTAGTTTGGGGACCAAGAAAACAGTATATTGCCTGTATTTTGCTCATTTAAAGATTATACACAGAACTTGAGTTTGGTATTAAGCTATCATATTGTTTGGATTTTTAAAGAATAGGTAGGTATTTTTTGCTTAATATGTGGGAATGGAAATAAAGGGGCTGTATGCTGTCAGACAGCATTTTAAAATCTCAGTTTAAGGAGTAATTATTGCCTGTTTCATTGTTGTGTATTTAGCTCTCATTGATACTTCTGATGCACTTTAAATCTTGTGAGTATTTACTAGTAATAAAGAGAGAGTCGCCACTGGAATACTTTGGGTTGATATCTATTCAAGTCTTTGAACACTGCACTTAATTTTTATGCTTAATTTTATTAGAAGTATTACATTCTAGAGTTGTATACGGTCATTCTTTAAAAACTTTTAGAAACCAGTAGCTAAATGTGTGTTTGTAAATTTACGTGTGTTTTTACCTAACGAAGACACGAGCATATATGTCTTAATATTAATGTTGTTAATCAGCCAAAAAACTTAACTGTGCAGGACAGAAGAAACTGATATAGTAAATTAATAGGAATCTCTGATTCATGACTTATCTAGTTAGTTAATTCCACCTTTTATAAATAAGGGCTACTGCTTTGTTGAAGAACATTCAGAAACTTGTTCATCTTATATATTAGAATCTAATTGTGTTGGTACATGAATAAATATAAGCACCCCTCCCCAAGGATATACTGGAAGGTTAAAAACCAAACAACTAACAAACAATCCTCTTCAAATAATGAATTGTGACAATTCAGTAGACTGTATCTTGGGATTGTACAGTAAGGATGGCACAATTCTACTCATGCAGAGTTATAGACTTTGCATGTCTGCAAATAATCGTATCACTCACTCTGAGCTGGTAAGTGTGTTTTGGTGTGTGTCTGTGTGCAGTCTGGTCTGTGAACTATTCCGACATCTCGCCTTGAGTGGCTTTGCTCGCAGAATCGCTTAATTTAGACCCTGAATCCTTGGTGATATGATCACCCCTTTCATGTCCTATAGAGCTCATCCTTCAAGGTTCAGCTTGCCTCTTTTTTTTTTTAACCAAAGGTGAAAACTTATTCCTCAGCTTTTTAGACCACATTATTTTTCCTACTTATTTTTTTTAAGGTTTTATTCATTTATTTGACAGAGAGAGTGGGCGCACAAGCAGGGGGAGGGGCAGAGGGAGAGGGAGAAGCAGACTCCCCGTTGAGCAGGGATTCCCTGCACAGGGCTGATCCCAGGACCTGGATCATGACCTGAGCCGAAGGCAGACGCTTAACCGCTTAACCGACTGAGCCACCCAGACGCCCCTATTTTTCCTATTTCTAATATTTATATTACTTTTTATCTGTAGGCAATAGTATTGCCCAGTAATAGAATTTTTAGCACTTTCATTGTCTGTTGTTAAATGTGTTTACTGATGCTAATCAGTATTATTTATTAATTTATTTCATTTTATGTCTGGCTTCTTCATCCAGACTCAGATTATCCTATGACTGAGTATTACAGCTGATGAAAGATAATTGTAGGTTGATTTTGGAATAATGTAAATAATACAGCAAGGCATTTTTCAGTGTATGAACTCATGAGGATTCATACTTTTGCTCCTCTTTCTGGAATACTGTGCACTTTGCTTTTATCTCAGACTCCCTTGTTCCTTCTCAGGCGCTCTTCTGCTTTCTCTCTCTCTCCCTGGGGTTCCTGGTCCTCTCTGCCCCTTTCACGTGGGCTTTACGTAGAGCCAGGCTTTTGCCATTCCTCTTCTCTTCTCTTTTTCACTGTCTGGGTTTCATTTTACGCTCTCTCATGGCTTTACTCTGCATGCTGGGGACTCCAAATTTATAGCTCAATCGCAGGTTTTGTAGTTGGATCTCCAGACCTATGTAGCCTTTTGCCTATTTACTAAACAGTTTTGTGGGTTTTTTTTAATTGCCCACAGGCATTTCAAACTTAACAAATTCTACTCTTACCAGCAACCTTCCCCTCTTCTTTTAGTGAGTAGCACAGCTATCTCCTTATCTGTCCCAGTCAAAAACCAGGTTATCATCCTTGACCCTCCTCTCTCCTCATTCCTCCTATCCAAAGTCCTGTCGAGTCTGCATTCCACATCCCACCGCCACTACCTGAGTTCAGGTCAGCTGCATCTCGGTGTTGAGCCACCGGCCGGCCAGGCTTCCTAACTACTTTCCCAGTTGCCCAGCCTTGAGCAGCACTCTACCCCTGCCATAGTTACAGTGCTCCTCCTGAAATCGAAGGCCGATTGTTACGTACCCCTGTGTAAAACAATTTTCTGGCTTCCCGTTGCCTTTGGGATAAAGTTCAAACTCCTGAGAAGTCTGCAAGGACAGTAAATAATCTGGCCCGCCCTTCTCCCACACTTCCTGTGCTTCCTATGCTGTCCGTTCCACAAGCCTCTCCACTTTGGGTCCTTGCAAATGCTGTTTTCTCCCACCCTTCCTTCCACCTGCCCCTCCTCCACCCCTCTCTCCTCCATGCCTGATTTTCCTCATCATGCTGGTCTCTTCTTCAACATCACTTCCTCAGGAAAGCCTTTCCTGACCCTCCAAGACTGGATTAGCTGCCCCAGAGCATTATCCCAAAACACCCTGTACTTTATCAGGAATAGTGCTTGCAAGTTATTTATCTCTATTCCCCCCTGGACTGCAACCCCTGTAAGAACAGGCACCATGTTTGCTTCTCCTGTGTCTGGCTCATAGTAGGTGCTCAGTAAATAGTGTTGAATTAATGAATATGTAGGAAGGGCTTTAATTTTATTCACTGTTCACTTAGATTCAGTACCTTGTACTGTCTTGATTATCCACCTACCTCATTGATCCCTCCTTCTCACTTCTCAGTACCTGGATTTCCTCAACTTTCTGGCCTGCTAAATCTTCATATACATCAGAGTTTGACCCTCTTTTCTTCTCTCTGTGCTCACTATCATGACTTTAAACATCAAGTATATACTGATAATCCATACTTATGTCTATATATTTGTGTGTGTGTGTGTGTTGTCTCCACCCATTTGGTCTCTATATCCCTTGAATTCAGATTCCTACGTCCACCTGACCACTCAGTCTCCACTTGAATAGTAAACAGGCATATCGAAAACCGAACTCCTGATTCTCTACATCTCTTCCTGCCCACCTTCCTAGTTTTCTCCTCCTTTCCAGCACTGGCCCTCCTGCCTTCCAGGTCAGGCTTCTTGGAGTGATCTTTGATCTCTCTCATGCATACCATGCAAATCTGGTTGACTGTCTCACAGCTTCAAGTGCTTGCCAGCCTCGAGTCTGTTCTCCACACAGGAACCAGAGTGGACCTTCTGTAAATCAGAGCATGTCACTCCTTTGCTCACATTCCTCAGGAGGCTTCTCATTTCCCTCAGGGTTAAAAGCCGAAGTTCTTCCGTACCCTGCAAAGCCCTGCACAATTTGCCCTCCCACCTCCCGAATCTCACCTCCTGCTGCTCTCACTCACTGTCCTCACTCTGTACTAGCCATTCTGGACTCTTGTGCACACACACTGGGTATGGCATTCCCCAGAGCCTTCCCACCACTAGCTGTACCGTCCACTTGGAGCACTGTCCCCGCTCAGGCGTCCCCAGGGCTCGCTTCCTCATCTCCTTGAGGTTTTGCCTTGAGGTCACCTGAGTGAGGCCTTTGCTGACCATTGAGTTTATTGAACTCCTCTCTCCTTCTCCCACGACACAACCTGCCCTCCTTCCTTGCTGTGTTTTTCTCCCCTGTCACTTACTCTCCACGTAACATGCTTATCCATCTGATTTTGCTTATTTGTTTGGGCAGATCATGTATCTAAAATAAAAGTGTTAAGTGCAGTTCGTTTTGTTCACATGGTATTTTCTGTGCCTAGAAGAATGCCTAGCCCATTATTGGCCCACAAATATTTTTTCCAATGAGTGAATGAATGAGTGAATCAAGACTAAGAAAAATTCTAAAATGTTACTGAGTTTGTATATGGGTACATAACATGTGAATACTTAATGTAGATTGTACAGAAGTGTGTAGGGTGTGAGTATTTTGTCTTCTAGACCTCCATTTCCATTAGGACTGCTCTTCACATCTTGGTGCCTTTTTTCTTTGCATCTTTCCTCCCTTTGGGAAGCTGGTAACCAAGTAACAGTAACCCAGTGTGTAGCACACATGTATGAAATAATTTGCACTAAGAGGTGAGATAATGGTAATTAACACACCAGTGGATGGGGAATCCGGCTGGCGGGGAAACTATAAAAAGACAATACGCCTGTATTGGTAAAATTTTTTTTCTTAAAATGAATGGCTAATATACTAATGTTCTTTATTAAATATCTTGTAATATAAACATTTCATTGCAAGTTAAAAATGATCACGACATTGATTATGACAAAATGTTAGCAGTTGTTAATTCTAGATGATGAGAATTTGGGGATTATATTATTTTTGTATTTTCTCTTTTTTGCTTAATTCCAAAACTATGATAAAAAGACACCATTTACAGATTTTTTAAAATGGGCAATATGTTACTAGTCTTGTGGAAATCTGGTTTCTAGAAAACCTACACTGCTTAAAATAATACTTAAATACTCTTTGAGAAGGATACACACTACACAAAACAATACT